GAATTCTTCCGCCTTGTGAAGAACATGGGGCCTCCCATGCAGGCTCCTCTCTCACGGGCCTGTGTTTCTGACAGGTATCAAGTATAAGCCACTATTTTGAGAGAGAAGTCAAGCACCTAGATTATGTAGAACAGCGCAAAAAAATTCGTGAACAAGAAAAGAAAGAAATGGAGCTGGAAAAAGAGAAGAAAAAAGTCGTAAGTTAAATCTCAGAAATGAAGATTGCTTTCCTCTAACACCGGTGGATATATGTATGTGTGTTTGGCTTAGTCCACATTTCAATAGGAAAATTATGCTTTTTCACTTTCTTCTCTTGTCCTCATGAGAGTCAAGAGGGCATTTCTCTGATTTCCTAGCTTATCATGAGTGAGAACTACCATTAGACACCTAGTAAATCTCTATCTAATTTAAGTTTCTGAAATGTTCTGTAATTTCAAAGTCTTTTAGATACATTGGTTTCTAAATACCATTTATAGATACAATGATTCAAAATTTGAAAACTTTCATTATATAGAATATAACATCTAGTGTATAATGCATTAAAACAGGCAATGCAAAAAGGGTGGAATATGTAATCAAAACACATAAGTTTAAATCCCAGCTCTACCACTTACCAGCTACAAGATCTGGGGTAAGGCTCATGTCTTTGCTGAGCTTTAGTTCTCTTATTTTTAAAATGGAGACACTAATAATTACCTTTTAAGGTTACTGTAAGGCTTTCAGTTAAGTAACCTGACAAATAATGCACTTTCACTAAATGGGAGCTGGTATATAGACAGTCAGACAAACATGCACGAATTTTATTATACGATAACATACTGGAGATGTAAAACTCGCAATAGAGGAGAATTCGGTATAAGACTCATCCATCTTAAACTCTACCAAAAAGGAATCTATAATTCTGAGTTCCCCTCTTCTCCTTTTCAGTCCCTCTGTTTGATATGAGTTCTGTCGCTCTGTTGGTCTTCTCTTGCCCATGGGAATACGAGGCCTTTACATATTCCGTGATTTCGGTTCTCCCTTTTTCAGTTGAGGTCATCTCAGTTCATATTTCTACTTCACTCTTACTCATTTTCTTCCTTGCCCTTACGTTGCCAGCATTTTCATCACTGATCCCGTCTGTAGTTTCCTTTATAGCCAAATACGTAGTATCCTTCAACATAATTATTCATGCAAGATCTTAGGTCTCAATTAAAAGCACAAGCAGGTAAAAATAGTTTAATGTACTGCATTAGTAAATAGATTAACATAATCACTTATTGATAGATAATAATTAGTATCATAAAAGCAGAGGGCCTCCTTTCAAAATTATTTAGAGGTGATAAGGTATAAAAGAATACCAGTTAGTTAACTTTTCATTCTTTCCCCAGCTTTAAAAAAAGTAGTCTTTGTTTGTTCTTTTGCACAGTCACTAACATTGGTTGAAATTCTGCCCTGGGAGACAATCCGCCACTCTCTCCCTATGCCCGCAATTACCTACGATTAAATGCCATATGATAGATAGCTCCTAATTATCCTCATCAGCAGAAACAAGTAGAATTGTGAATAATACAAAAATAATTTCCATGTGAAATACTTCTAAAACACCCGGATAATATAATAATCATATCTTGAAATTGTGTTATGCTTTTGAGTTTCCAAAACTTTTTCAATGCCTTGTAACTTCATTTCCATTCGACATAGCACCCTCTTTTAAGTAGAGCTACCACGTCTCAATTTTTTTCTAAAACTAAACCGTGGGTGAGTGAATGGAGTTTAAAACCCTCCTCTGTTACATTAAGAACATGAAAAGTTCACTCAGAGAAAAAAAAAAAAGTTTGTCAGAAATATTTCCTTATAAGCAACTGCTGATAAAAGGGAAAACGGGAAGAGACTGTAACGACCTCAGAGGCCGCAGCGGGGATTAGAGTTAAAATATTTACAGCACTTAGCCAGAAACTGGCACATAGAAAGTGTTAATATGTGGTCACTGTTAGTATTATTATGGAGAGCTGGGAAAGATCACACATTCATCCAGCAAGGCTGGTGCCCCCATTTGCCAGGGTTAGGCTGCACACCTCAACCCACAGATCCAAGGGAAATCATACATCCACTTCTTTGTAAACGTTGAATCTGGATACAGCTCATTTCTTGAAAAATAATAGTAATTATAGCTCTAACAGCACATGAAATAGGAGTTTTCCTAACTGGAATTTCAGCTGGAGACCCAAAGCTGGGAACAGTATCAGTTTCCATGTGATCCCTAAACTATGCCATCTATATGGAAATCAGAAGAGAATTCTGTGACCTCTAGCCAATTACCCATATTCCAGACTACACAAGGAAAGCAAGAGGTATGGGAAAGAAGACCAGAAGAGGGTTTTGTGTTTTGTTTTGTTTTGTTTTGTTTTGTTTTGTTTTGTTTTGTTTTGTTTTGTTTTGTTTTGTTTTGTTTGGAGAGAAAGGTGTCAGAAGGCTATGTATTTTCAACTTCCCACTTCTGCAATACCAGACTCCATTAGAGATAGGTTCTTGGCCAGGATGGACAACTGGCTTCTGACACCCAGCAGGAGGCTTGCTAAGCCATAGCAATCCAAAGGCCAGGAGTTATCAAGTGGCCAGAGCGGAATGTCCAGAGAGAGTTTTGGGAACCCAGGGACTAGGGCCTGTTTTTCGAGGCTGGAAAGTCTGGAGGCAAGAGTTTGGTTTAAACTGCTCTGACAGAGGGTGGAGAGAGGGCCAGTGTGGGATGAACTTCTACTGATGGTAAAGTGAGGGTGGCGAGTTTTCCTGGGGCCAGGTGGGTGGACCCTTGGAATATAGCTAGGTTCAAATCGGATGCCTAAAATAACTTCCTAGTTGGGATGAGGCGACCTCTGCAGAAAGATCCTGAGGCGCACAGTGGGGGCATTGTAGTAGGGAGGCCCCAAGGGGCAGTCTCCATTTTGATATTAGCTTGGCCTAGATCTTCAAATACCTGAAAATGACACCATGCCTACTATCTAAAAGTGATTAAAAAAAAAAAAAATGCTACAGGATCTGTCACATATGTTGCAAAGGACTATGGTTAGAAGACTAACATTTTTCTACTCCAATAAAGTCCCGCTCTTTAGTGAATTGGTTATATTGTAGCTAACGCGTTTTAAGTACTTAACTGAGTGTTCAGCACTATTCTGAGGACTTGACCTGTTTAATAATTCTTTTAAGCTGCACAATGTTATGAAATAGGTACAACAATTATTAGACATGAGGAATCTGAGAAAGCAGCTATATTAAGAAAAGTGAGAGAAAATTAAACATATGGGAAGAATACAGTAAACAAAGGGGAACATCAACCATTGGGAACGCTCAATGGAGAAAAATACCTCTTAAAAATTATTCTCTAAAGAAATTAGAATAAAAGCGTAGAGTACAGGACCCCTTGGTGGAATCCACAAAGACAGGGCTTTGTGACAAAGGAGCAGAAGGCACAGGAAGACAATAGAATGGGGAGATGACAAGAGGATGAGAAACAAAGGCAATGAGGATGACACCCTGAGGCGAAATGTTCCTAACATTCATCTAAAAAAGACACAGATGAGAAAACAAATCTTAAAAATCATGACTGCCCTACCCGATATTAGAATCATTTAAAATGCTACAATAATTAAACCAGAGCCGTACTAACACAAACATTGACAAATCAAAGAACAGAACAGATGATTCATCAAGTGGTACTGGGCAAATTAGCTGAATAAATATTCCTTGTTGTTATTCTTTCCTCTCTCGATGTGCTTCTCCTTTAGTCAAAGGCAAGATCTTACAGGTCAGCCCGGATTCCCTGCTGCCCAGAGAGCCCACAATCCAATCCATCAGCAAATTCAGTCTGCCCCTCCTTTGGGAGATTCCTTGAATCTGCACACACTTCTCTGCTGTGCCCACTCTGTCTCTGCCACTCTCCTTCAGAGCCAGCGGCTGCTCTCCCTGACTGTGGAGGAGATGCCTTCTCACCTTCTGCCCTTCTGCAAACCCCGTCCAGAGAGCAGCAGCCAGGCCAACTGTTCAAAAATAGCCCCTTCTCATCCTTTGGTATTTCTAGCTTTCAGTGTTCGATAGGGATGACTTGCTCTTTACTTTCCTAGAAAACGTATCAGAAGACAAAAGAACAATTGGAGGCTGAACTGAAAATGGACTATGAGAATTATTTGGAACTGGAAAAGACCGTCCTCATCAATCTTGGCCTACTCAAAGCGACAGACACGATGCCATTCATGGACGTGATGAAGGAAACCTTCCTGTAGGGGTGTTCTGGAGGCTTTGTGGGACTTCTTTTTTGTTTATTATTTTTTTAATGTAAAGTGGACTAGCAAACTGAACATAGAATAGGTGTATTTATAAATACTAGGTTTTTATTTCACTGCTATTAAAACTTTTGAATTATAACAATTAATAAGATCTATTTCAATTTTTAGACTGAATATATACTGAACTTTGTATCAAATATGACAGTTATTGATAATGAAAATTTTATTTTCCTGTAGTAACACACAGTCTGAGTCCTTGACATTCATTCAGGGCCCCTAATACCAGACAGAAGTGGAAATCAAACTTTGCTCCTAATTATCAGGTTGCTTTTGATCACCTCTCCCAAAAGTGCTCCCCTTGGGCCACTACAAAATTGTAGGGCCATATGCTAAACAATATATTAGCAACTCAAAGCCAGAAATATATGTATAAAGAAAAGGTAATAAATACATGATCATGTTGAGTTAATCCAGGGGATATAAGCTTAATTTAACAGTAGAAAATAAATTAATTAGATTATAGGAGAGAAATGATACCAAAAGAGATGCAGAAAAACTTTTGATAAAATTCAATATCCATTCATGATAAAACTACAATAAATTCTTAGCAACTACAAAAAGAAGAGATCTTCTTAATCTGATGCAGGGCATCTAAAACAACCCTACAACAAACATCATATTTAATGGCGAAAAGTTGAAAGCCTGCCTCCGTCTGATACACGGAACAAGATACAGCGCCCGCCATCATGTCTTCTAGCCAGTATTGTACTGGGGATTAACCAGTGAGGGCATGAAAAGGAAACGATGCATGAAACTGAGTTGTGAAGGAGCATGGTGTACCTCGCTAAGAGATTCAGTGTCACAAAGGTGACTGATATGGGAAGTGGGACTGGAAGGAGACGAGCAGGAGATGAGATTGGAAAAGCAGCTTGGAGCCAGATTGTGAAGGCTGCTGTAAACGAAGCTAAGGAAGTTGGATTATAGTTTGCAGATAATAAGGAATTAATAGAACAGCTAAGCAGGAAGGTGACATGATCAGCTTTATATTCCGAAAGATAAGGAATGGATTAGCATGGGCATAGTGTCATGGCAGGAAATCCTATTAGGAGACGGTAAGAATAATTCATGGAAAAGAATAGGATATGCCGTGTTCCGAAGCTTAGAGTGAAAATAGAAATGAAAGGCCGACTGGATAGGGAAGGAAAAACAAAGGATGATACCAGGGTTTATAAGTTAAGTTGCCAGAGGAAATAAACTCAAAGTTTTATTTACCACAAAAGTCAGATAGATAGTAGCACTTAACCATCTGTGTGCCTTTGGACAGATATGACTTTTCACTGTGAAACAGATTCTATTAAGTCGGCTTGAGAGTATTTACCTTGCAACATTTTTATAAGAGGCAAACGAGCACCTGCACATAACATGCCCAGCACGTGTTAGTATCATCATTACTGGAATGTCCCAGGGCTTGGCCTTGCACTTGAACTTTTTTTCCCCCCTTTTTTAAGCCACACTCATGTCTTGGGTGAATCCATTCAGTCTCACAGCTTTAAATACTATTTCTCTAGCCTAGACTTCTCTTATAAAATCGAGAGCTGGATCTTCATTTGACTACTCAATGAGTCCACTTGCTTGTACAATAGACATCTCCAATTTAAACACGTCCAAAATCGAGTGCTTGATTTTCCCTCCTATTCTTCCTGTAGCCCTCCCCAATCACCTTGCTTCTAGTTTCTCGGATAAAAACTGCGAAGTCGCCCTTCATTTCTCTCTTTCTCTACAATCTACACCCAATCTATGAGCAAATAATGTTGACTATACCTGTAAAATATATACAAAACCTGATCACTTCTCTCCTTCCTCACTGCTGCCACCATGGTCCAAGCCACTATCATCACTCACTGGATGAATGCAGTAACCTCCCAACTGTTCTCCCTGCGTCTAAATTGCTCCCTTCAGTTTCTATCAACAGCAGCAAGGTGGTAACTTTAGATGGAAGTCAGAGGCTGTGTTATCTCCCTCAGCTTCCCAGCGCACTCAGAGTATGAGCCAAAGGCTTCACCATGACCTGCAAGCATTTGAGTGAACAGGCCCTTCACCGTCACCCTGGTTCCATCTCTCATTCTCTTCCCCTCTGTCACACCACCCGGTCATCCTGGCCTCCTCCTAGTCACCAAATATGCCAGGTTATGTTTTGTCCCAGGGTGTTTGTGCTCACTGCTCTGCATTTTCTCCAGTGATTTTTCCTTGCTTTGTTCTCGTGTTCGCTCAAAGAAAAAAGACGTTTTGAGTGCCTTTTATCTGCCAGGGTCTACAGCAGGGTATGTAGGGAGGGTGACATTTGAGTAAAAACCTGAGAGGGTGAGGGATTTTGCCCTGTAGTATTCCAGGAGAAGCATGTTTCATAACCCAGTCCTCCAGCCCCACCCTAGCTGACTTTGCTTAGGTCTCCTGGACAGAACTGGGCTGTATGGCTACCCTACAGTGTGAAAAAAAGCTGAGACTACAGAGAATGGGAGCACCATGATTGTGTGACATAAGCCATTACCTGGGACTGGTACATTGTTTTCTAAAACAAAAGCAAGGTTTTATTAGCATAGAAGGGGCTAATGGGTAGTGAATAAGTGTCTGCCTTAGGGTTAGCAAGTGAAGAGCTTAGCATCTGGCGTGTAGCAAACAGTCAATATGTTTGCTATTATTTTACCCAATTTATAAACACAACATGATTATATTATTCTTGCTATAGAAACTAAACATGGAATTCATCTTGCTTATGATAGCAGTTATTACTGGTTAAGTATGATACTTGCATTGTGTGTTTATAACCTCAGTTTTTCCAGATCTCATCATCTCACCAGCCTAGAGGTACCAACGGGGTCACCTAAATAGCCATAGCCCAAGTTTCATGGGATCTTGCCACATCTGCTTATTGGGTATCTCATCCTTCTACGAAGGGCCTCCAGGTGTATCCTCTAGTCCCTGAGATGAAGGTGGAGTGAAACATGTTTAAAAACAAGCCCACAACCACCAGGTATCCAAGGATCGCTTTTTATAACATGCTAGAGCTGCCTAATGACCTGTGACATGGAGAGAACTGCTGGGACAATGCCCCTGTGCTAGTTCAGGTCCTGTAAGAAGCAAACACCAAGGCAAGGTTAGAGGTGTAAGAGATTTGCCGGAGAGAGAGCAGGAGAAGCCAGAGAGAGCTTTCAGACCTGGATGAGCATCTGGTGCCTCTGGATGGAAAGAGAGAAGGAAAGAGGACAGGGTAAGATGCGTCTCGGACCACACGGCAGGCTCACTTCCCTTTGACTCTCAGGCATTGAAACTCAGGCAAGCTCACTGTGCTGCCTCTTCCTTCCCTGGCATGAGTTAGTTCCCTCCTAGTCTCTTCAACTCTTCAAGCTCACGTCTTCTTCTATTTCCCAGACTCTCTAGTCTGCAGACAGGCTAGACTGGCTGAATCCCAGAAGAGAACATAGCCGAAGCTCAGGCTAGGAAGCTACCTGCCTGTAATTGAAGATGTAGGAATATTGGGCGTGAATGAAAATGGAGTTACCTCATGTGCTTCCTTCTATTTCCCTCAGCTCCAACCTTTCCCCTTTCCAAACTGCAGTGTGGGTCAATCCAGTCTTCTGTTTCTTCCCTTAAGTCTTTTGGTCTGGCATGTAGTGTACTGAAAAGAACTGAGCTCGGGATCCTAGCAGACCTGAGTCTGAATCCCAGCTTCATCACCTTAGGCAAGCTGTGCTGTCTAAGTCATAGTTACATTGTCTGTAAAATGAAGATGATAATTATACATACCTGATACAAAGACAATGTATGTAAAATACCTGACACGTAGCTGGTGCTTAATAAATGTAGTACCTCCTTTTCTTACTTGGTCTCAGGTGTGCACACAGACACACAGACACAGACACACACACACACACACACACACACACACACACACACACACACACACACACCCCAGAGAAACCATAGCGTTTCCTCTGTCCTGTGCAATAATCTCTGATTTTAACATTTTTTATTATTAATAATAATGGGAGCATCTCTCACTCTCAAATATGACAAGCAAGGGCTCTACATGCCTACTTTATTATTAGTTCTTGATAATTTTAAAATGAGATCAAACATATTGGACATAGTATTTAAAATTTGAACAGTAGCTTTCTTGCAGAAATTAAAATGCTTATGGCTACTCAGAAAACTAATCATTCTATTAATGCTTGATTTACTTAGATTAAGTTTAATTATCATTCAGCTTTACAAATTGCTTTCTACCCACCAAGAAATGTTGCAGAATTAAACGAGCATATTTTCAGGTCCTCAGATAAACATACCGTCTGTGTGTACTTCAGATTAAAAGGCATTTGACTCTAGTAGACGGTGGCCCAGGTCCACTGCCACTGCTTCATTAATCCACCACTGTAAATAATTAACATTTCCCTGGGCCCTCAACCCCAGAACGCCGCTTGGGGTAGGTGCAGTGCTGCCTGGTTGCTAGGTTGCCATTACCAGGTCAGATACTGTATAACTGAGCAAAGACCCACAACGGAAATTAAAAATCTTAGTGCAGGGCGAATTAAGCCCTCTGTGATGAATTCACTCCTTCCATGGCTCATGAGCTGTTTGAGGGTCACAGGCTCATGTAAAACACCTACACACAATCAGAGTAGAATCCCAAACACCAAAGAAACCAGCCACGAAAGTTCACTGGGGAAACGATGTTGAAAAAATAGTAAATGTAGTTGCTTCCAAATGTTCACAAATAAGACATTAAAAATAGACACAATGACTATGGTAAATAATATAGGCTGGGTTTCCCTGCAATAATGCCAATGCTCCAAACTTAAAAGGACAGACAGTCAGGTCTTTTTAAGTCACCTGCACATGTGATATTCTAAGCTGTTCTTATTCTTTTTTTCTTAAAGAGAAGGAAAAAAGACATAAAATCAAAGATTTCACATTCTTCCCTGTCAACTAAAGATATATTTTCAGGCCCTACTTTTAGGAGCCATATTTTTAAGAAGAATGATTCTCAAAAAAAAAAAAAAAAAAAAAAGAAAGAAAGAAAACAATGTGAAGTCAAATCTGAATTATGGCAAGTGTCTGCTTTATTTCAGCCTTAATAA